GAGTCAAAATATCTAAACCTTTCACCATAAAGTCATTTGGAGATATAGTTAGAGATGGTTCCCAGCAGCCACTCTGATTTTTGATATCAAGTGCATCTGTAAAAGCAAAGGCAAAAAAATTAAGGAAAAATTAAGGATAGATAAAAAATAGAATAGAAAATGAATAGAAAGTAAAAGTAGAAAGTAAAATAAAATGAATAAAAATAAACGAAAGAATGAACTTAAAATATTTATAATTCATAATTTATTTTTATTTTTTATTTTAAAATTTTAAAAAAATATAATTTAGCTTAGCTATTATAGAAAATTTTGAAGTTCTAGAAGTAGCGTAAGAAAATAGCAAAGCAGAAAACGACAACTCAAGAAATAAATTTTTCACCCCGTAAAATATAAAATAGAATAGAAACAGTTAAAAAAACATATTGATTATTTTTGAACAATAAATTAATACAATTTTAAACAACGATTTGTGCCGTATCCCTATAAAAAAAGAAAAATTCTTAATCTTTTTATTAAATCGAAATATAATTATCAAAGATAATTCGGAATATTCGGAAAATCGCTAATAGTACCATCAATTAAGTATCTTATATGGCTAAACGTTAGAGCAGTACTTGAAGGAGAAATTTCATTCCCTAGCAGAAGCCGAAGGTTCCATTACAATTTAAAACGCAGAAAAAAAGTCTTAGCCATGAATTCAGTATAGTTGCCATGAACATTCGTTTTCATTTCGCATTATTCATAATTGTTTGCGAATAATCCGAAATCTAATGAATCACTTATATCTAGTATGGAAGCAGTCATACCATAGCAGTCCGGTCTCGAGTGACAATAACTTTAATGCTTATTTATCACTGATTTTTCACGTAGTGGTGTCGTTGCGTTATGCCATGTTCTGTAATAAAATTTATCGTCGACAATCTGCTCCTCGTTGTGGTATTGTGGTCGAAGTTTGAGGATGAATTGCTAATTGCAATTACGGCAGGCAAGGCTATTCCTAGATCTATTTTTTTCACAATAACATTGGAAGCTTGAAAAATTGATATTTCTGCACTTTTGGGCATTAGATATGTCCCTATGACTGTTGGACGCTCGAGATGGTATTGCAGCTGAAAATAATGGCGAGTTGTCTTGGCTAATATCTGGATATCGAAGAGCCTTTGATTCGAAATTGAAGTAAATCACTCATTTAGCAATATGCCCAATCCACCACGAAGTTCACAGTTTTTACACTCACTTCTGCAGGAGATTGAATAAAAATGAATTTTCAATGTGGGAATAGGTTAATATTTTCACAATGAAAATATTTTTGAATTTCAGAAACCATCGAAAGAAGAGAAATGATCTTTAAATCGAACTGTCTATCTAAAGAATAAATTTCACTGTATTTCATGGTGGTCATTCCATAACAAATTGCGAGAATTATTTACAGTACAAATTATTTAAATCTCCATGCTTCCAAAAATGTTTCTGTTGTTTATTATTGAGTTTTATTGATAACATTTTGGAATCAACCAAACTTTAGCATTTGCAACATATCTTTTCACTAATTGAGGGAAGTTCAAGCAACTGCATTAATTGCTTCCTATCCTGCTGTATATTTCGATTCCGTAGCACTTTTTTGATTGAGGCAGAAGACAAAGACAAATACGGCTGATATTGAACGGCTCTTCACCACCATATCCGTAAAATAAACATAAAATAAATATCTTAGATAGTTCAAATGCCAAAATTTATTCCACTTTCTGCTTAAACATACCTTATATCTGTCAAGAAGCAAATTCTTCTTCTTCTTCTAACAACTCTCACCACTATTGGCTTCGCTGACTACAAAGGTAGAGTCTCCAAGTTGCTCGTTTCGACCCTTTTTCCATCATCTAAGTCCATATATCGCTGGTCCTCCTATACGTTCAAAATCTTTCCTGACTGTAGCAGTCCAGGTCTTGATTGGCTCTCCTCGCTTTTAACGCCAACCATCACAGGGTTTAACAAGTAATGAAATATACTTCTGTGGTGGACGACGGAGAACGTAAACGTACTCTAAACCAGCGAAAACGACACTCTATAATAATATTAATACAGGTGGTATTTGAGCGGAGATGGATACAATCATGTGCGATTTTATCCGCTCGATGGATCCATAATAATATGTATAATATGTATATATCTTAGAAATGAGTGGTCAAAGGCTGAAAGCTTCATAATATCTTCCACTCTTATTGGCAGTCATATAGCAAGATCGAGCGAATTGCAGTTTTATGGACGTGGATTTTCGTCTTTATGGTGAATTCGCGACGGTTCTATAAAGGTTTCATTAATCGGAAAAGAACATTTCTAGCTGTAGTTGTCCGGGTTACAATTTTATTCCTTGCTTGGCCATTTGGGATTAAAGTACATCCAAGAAAAATCGGGTATTTTCTCAACCAGCAATGAATTGATAAAAATAGGTATTTTATCAGTCTTGTATATAAGACGAAAACACTTCTTTCTTTTATTTATATTGATTTGAGTCCAGTTTTCACTGCAGTTGGCACATTGTTTAACATTATTTGCATTTCATTATAACTATCAGCAAAAAGGATCATCAGCATATTCAAGAATGCTATGCTCTGGATTAATTTACACATCTCTTGAGTGCGGATAAGCGATTATCCCGTCTATCACATAGTTGAATATTGTAGGGGAAAGGGCGCAGCCCTGACGGATCCCAGTTCTTATTTCGAAGGAGTTTGTCAGTTCCTCATATGCATAAACCTGTGCAAGGGTATGCTAATAAAATGCCTTTATGAGCCGAATGATCTTCTTTGGGATACCGTCACATTCCATCATTTTCCAGAGCGAATCGGAATCAGCTGCGAAATCGATACAGCAAATGATGGTGGGTTGCTGGTATTTTGATGTTCCAGCATCCTTCTTAGCATAAATAGAAGCAAATTAGCTAAGTGGATATTGGTTATGGTTAAGAGGGAAGGTGGCCTTCTACAAAACAAATACGAATAAAAAATAGTAGTAATAATGATAATAATAGTAATATAATAATATATAATAATAATGAATGATAATTAATAATTATAATAATTAATAATGATTAACAATTATTGTTAATAATTATTATTAATGACTGACAATAATAATATTATTTATTGATAACAATAATATTAATAATAAATAATAATGATAATAATACTAATAGAAAAGTACTAATAACCAGTTCAGTCAGCCTAATTAGAAAATCAATTTAAAAAACTGAATACGTACGCTAATAATAAATTAATAATAATAAACTAAAAATAATAATGCAGTAAAGAATTAATTTATCATGAATTTTGTTTTAATGTCGGCAATATTTGCCACGGATATTGTTATGAAGTCGCTTTATTTTCAAGGTGTTTATTAATTATAAATATCCATTTATAATTTTATGCAGAAACAATCCCTTACAATTTTTTTTATTTTTAGAAGTGTGAAATTCAGTAAATGCAACAAGATACATTAAATTTTTCTCCGAAATATTCACAGATATTCTTTACCGAAGCATCATGGGATTGCACTTGTCATAAAAATGCAATGGAGGTGATGCTGAGGACCTATGCTCCCAAATGATTCTAGCTAAAGAACCACATTCTAACAAAAACTGGAGTCAGAAAAGCCAAAAATGGTAAGTGCTCTTGCAAGAAGATTTAATAATGAATGAATGTTTAAATTTAATCATCGTAGGAGAATGAAAATTAGCGTTTATTGATTAAGTAGTTGATTTACTAACATTTGACCATGCTTCATTTGAATAGTAATATTATTTTATGGCATTAAAAGAACCAAGCAGTTAAATAAATCGTAAAATATAAGCAGCACATCGTTAAAAGATAATATCTAATTGCTAATTCTATTGAATAGAAATTTGAAAAATTCCGATCTATAACTTAAAGTGGATTTAGCGGATTTATCACTATGATTATCAGTATCGAAGACAGTAGTTGTAAACAAGACAGCCTAAGTGTGATACTGCTGATGACAAAATTCACATAATATATTATTGAAATTAATTATACGCAACAAAATATAATTTTCCTTCACTCAGAATAAGCACACTGAGTGTAATTTTAGATTTTCAAAATTTCTTTTTCATAGACCTTCAAAAATCCACTGAAATATGGTAAAAAGAAATTAAAGAAATTTCAGGATTAATTATTTAATGAAAATGAAAATTTTCGCTTCCTCTGAAAATTATTTTAACTTGGCTAATTATAGGATTTTATTTTTAAAAATAAGAAATTATTAAAAATAACAAACTTTCGAATCGTAAAACAGTGAACGTATGCAGAAGAAATATTTTACAATGATTAATATGCAACATTCATAATTATAAGACTGACAGATTTCTGCTTGTTATGGATATATTTGTTAAATTTGTAGGAATTTAAGAATTTTGCAGAATAATATTTCGAGAATTCTTAATGAGTGTTTAAAATTTGGGAAAACTTGCGAATTAAGCATATCCTAAATATCCTAAAAATCCTTATTCATCTTCTTCATCTTCTTCCTCTTCCTCGTCTTCTTCCTCATCCTCTTCTTCATCGTCCATTTCATCTTCAACTTCTTCTGCCTCATCCTCAGCTTCATCATCAGTTTCTTCATTTTCCACCTCTTTAATTTTCTCTTTGGTTTCTTGCTTTGCGACTGGATTTTCAGTCTTTTTCTAAACAAATATTTTTTGTTAATTTTTTAATTTTCAGGTGATTTCATTTTATAAAATATTACTAAAGGATCTTTCATTTTTTTAATCATTCTATTCTTAACTTTTAATCTTTCCATTCTTCTTATTTAAAATACAGATTCTACGATGATTACAAATTTATATAAGATTAAAAATTAAAATTTCGGATATTTACCATCCATCCATTTACTACATACTTCAAGCGCTTAGCTAGTGCTACTGTTTTAACATAATTTATAGCATAATTAACATAACATAATTTATAGCTTTATATTATTAAAGAATTAATTTATTACTGATCCATCACATAGTGCATGATTCATTGTTTCCTTCATTGCTTCGTCAATTTTCTGCGAATCTTCCGAAGTAGATCTCTGAAATTACTCTTACTGATAAGCTAATTATAAAGACTGATAAGATTTATCGGATTATAAGACTTTTTTTGATTTTAGTCAATTTAAATTACAGTGATAATTTAATCTAAAATTTTGAATAGCATTATTCTTATGGACAATAATCTAGAGCAGAAATCCAATCTATTAATGAAATCAATTCCATTATTCATATTTCATGTTTCAATTAATTTCTTAATCATTAATTTTAATATATTATACAATTGTTAAAATATCTTATCACTAATGTGGAACTTAAAAAACCCATTCAATTCTAAGCTACAAATTTGTTTAACGAAAATCTGCCATTTTTTAACCAAATTATTTAGCAAAGTTATTATTATTGTTTTATTATTTTGATATGGGATGATATAAACTGATACATATATTTGAAAAAGACAAATCATGCACGGAATTTATATACATAATCAACGATTTATTATCATGCGAAGGAATTTCTTGGATATCAAACACATCATTTCGTTCAAAAAGATTATATATTTATTTTTATTTATCCAACTGTTGGTGGAAATATCACGGTGCAATACGAGAAATTGTATGGTTATTGACAAAAAAATTGATTGTTAGAATGAAATATTACCCCAAGGTGTCTTTCTTCGAATTTTTGCTTATAATGGCCGAATGGATCTATAGATGAAGCAGAACCTGGCAGTTTCGTTTCCTCCCATTCCTTTAACGCTTTTTCATATTCTTCGATCCTGACGGAAATATATTGCAAAATTTTTTCATGTGACTTCGTAGGCAATCTTTTTTTTTATTTTGTCATTCAAGTTGTGAAGCTTTTTCCATCTCATATTATACTTTATGGTACAAAAAATCGCAAATATAAGGATTATTAGTCGGAAAATTCAAATTTTTTTCTAACAGCATTCATTATTTTTTGCTTGATTTGCTACTGATATAATTTAACTAAAATTTTAAGATGAGATCTCTGCTAAAAAGCCATCTTGAGATAGAATTACAGAATATTCCCAGCGCTATCTGGGCCCCATTTTCACTGGTAGTCTTGCAATCAAAGGTCAACATGTCCTTTTGCATTTATCTTAAGAACCAATTTCTTCTTTAGCTCTCACTATTACTGGATAGGTTGGCTCCGCTAGCAATAACAGTAAGATATTCCCAAACTTCGATTCGACAATGATAGAAGCCATTGTCTAAATCCATTTATGGTTGCTCCACCTATATGTTTAAAAACTTTTCTGACCGTGTTAGTCCAAGTACAGATTGGTCCACCTCTCTTCATCAACATTCGGGCAATAGATAGCGCCATGCACGATTACTATCCAGCATCATTTCACTGATCCCCGAGTTATTCCCCAAGTTATGGGTGCCTTGTAAAAAGGCGAAATTTCCTATTATCACCTAATCGAGCCATCTCCCTTCTCAAGACCATATCGTTCGAATAGAGGTTTCTATCTTGCCATGCTATTGTCGTTCGAAGCAACCGATAGTCAGGATCTTCTGGCATTCATGCTTTGGCAGCTTGTTTTAGTTGAGCGTCTGATTCCTATAAGCAAATTTCTAAGGCAAAACAAGTTTTACCATTCTTTCTTCCATCCTATTTTACTGAGGACATCTCTTGGAGTACCGAAACCAGTCATTCCTCTCTGTGATGCTAATTTATTGGTGCCTGCTTGTAGAGGCACAATTCCTTCCGATTTCATCCTTAATTCTTCATTTATTTGTTTACCACCCTAAAAAAAAGAACATCATTGAGGTTAGAAGTGATAATTGTCCAATTAATGGAGTATTTTTTCTATTCAAAGGTTCAGTTTAAAATATTACGCTACTTGCTTCAACAGAACTACCTAATTTTGTAATATTCGTCAACTTTTAGTTTTATTATTTCTCATTAACCATCAAAATCTTAAATTTTTCAATACTCTTAATTCAATTTGCTAGCCTAAATTAATAGTTTTAATAAAGATTTAGCGAAAACTCAAAAAATAAGAATCTATTTACTTATCGTAGACTATCTCAATCTAGAGGGTATATATGGGGTTGAATTGTGAGAAATAATTGAAGTAATGTAAATTTTTACAAAACCTCAGTGTGCGGCAGGACATCGCGAACTTTAAAGAAGCCACCAGAACCAGCTTGGCTAGCAAATTTGTTCTGGCCAGAGTACCAAGGTACCAATTTGGTTCCTTTGCGCATATTTTCTTCACTTGAAAAAATCATCGTAACTATTAGAGAAAGTATTCATCAAAAGATTACATAATATAAATTTTGTCTTAAAATTTTTTAACTGTTCCGAAAGCGTAATTTTAAATTTATAATTCTAGTGAAAAATTTGAATCATTGAATTTAAAGGTTAAAAACTTTATGAATTTTGTTTATGAATTTTGGACTATAGTGCATAGCCTATTTCAAAAAATTAGAATTTTTTTAAAAAAAATTCTTATAAAGAATTTGTATAAATAATTTTCTTTTACGACTTTAAAATTAAAATTAAATTAAATCTGAGTAAAATAAATTTAATCCAAATTTGATTTCTTAGGCTGGCTTGATTTGATTTGGTTAATAAATTCTGAAATTATCATTATACTTGATATTCATTAAATTAAATATTCATTAAATTAAATTAAATTAAACTGAATTAGAAGAAAAATTTTCAATTTAAATTTTATATTATCAGAATATTAAAAAATAAAATTTTTTTTTTCAAATCCCTACCATTAGGTGAGATGAATAAACCCTTTCTATTAGCACCTAAAATATCTGGTTAAACTTGCTGCTGTGGCTATTAGTATGATATGATAACTTTGCCGAAAGAAATCAAATTAGAATGCATGATATAAGTTGCAATGCAACAACTCAGAAAAATTATGAAATGGATATGTTGGATGTTGAAAGAAAACCTGAGCGCTAGCCCTTCAATCTCCATTGTAGCCTGGCGTACTGCACCTATACCTGGTGGAGCACTCATTCCACTTTGTGATGCGAAAAGATTTGTGCCATATTGATAACAGAGCACGCCATGGGTTCGACGATCTCGTGGTAGGCGCCCTCGAACATTTGTAACTTGATTCCTATGTGACCCCATTGATCTCTTAAATTTTTCGGTGAGTTTTTTCAAAAATTTAGAAAAAGAAGTTTCATGGTAAATTACCTCCCCAGATTGTGTCGCCAATCCAAAATCTCCCGATTGTTTCGGCATAATCCTTTCGCTTCGTTTATCGAGGCCTGTTTCCCATTCCTTTTTATAAACAATCTTTGGAACCTGATAACGGTTCGCTCCAATAGGAGTTAATCCTAATATTATTGCAAAATTTCATTCATAAAATTTTTTCTTAAATCCATCGTCAACCCTAATCAAATTAAAGTTTTAATTTTCATTTTTTATTTCAAATATGCATGCATAAATCTCAGACACAGTAATTTTCTATTTTCTGAAAAAAGAATAATCTATTTTTTGTACCCTGTTTTTTAAATGGATCTTTAAAAATCAAATTTTTATTAAGAGCTCAGCTAAAATATTCTTATCTCAGAGATTATCCAATTATCCACAAAATCCACGAAAAAGTTACTTATTTTCATTATTTGTAGTCTGCTTCTTTTAAAATTATACAAAAATTACAAGAACCTTTTTGCGAAGCATATTGGTTTGTTCCATACTGTGCCCTCAAAAATTCTTCACTGCGCCTATCAGGTTCGATAAATCTTAAAACCATGATAAAACCATGTCCATATATGATAAAATGAGACCCAAAGTCAGTGGAGTTAATAAATTAATATTTAATTAAGATCTATGTTAGTTCCCATTGTTTTATAGAGAAACTAGATTCTTCATAAACACAATAAATATATAATTTCTCACCCTAAATGCTTATCCTTTGTGATATTCCATCGGGGCATTCCTGGAGCGGTCATTCCTTTTTGGGAATCGAATTTATTTGTGCCAGATTGTAGTGACAAGAACGTATGACCACCTCGAAGCTGTTCAAGGTTCCATCTTTTTTTTATGGGTTTATTTTCTATTTCAACCTTAATTAAAAGCATTTATTTAAATCTAATGAAATGCTCATCTTAGAATTTCAATAAAACAGGTGGAACAAATTAAATTACTCAAATTAAACAAATTTATCTTCGCATAAAAAAAAATTTTTGCAATTTTTCTTATTGCTATCCTTTAGTAAAATTTTTTAAATGAATTCTATGAATAAAGAAAAATGAGCCAAATCAGTATAAATTTGGCATTTTTTAAAACGATTATGAAACCTAAAGTTAGTTAATCAAACCTTTATTATTTAAACGCAAAACAATTTATTCAACTTTATTCAAATTCAAATTCAGATTATTTTAAATAAAATTTAAGCAAAACCGAACCTAATGAACCTGAAATAATAAAAATAATATAAACGCCTATAGATCATTAAACTAATAATGTCGTATTTTAAAAATTTAGATCAAACTATCAAGAAAATTGCACCGTATTAATTAATTATATGATCATTATTGTTTTTTACAATTTTTTTTTGTCTTTTTCTCTTTCTTTGAAAATTGTAAAATTAATATAAAATTATTGGCGAATTCTCTTTTTACATAAACTTACGTCCTTAGGTTTGAAATATTCTTTAAGATTGTTTTTTATACCATCAAAAGAAAAAGAAATTTTGAAATTAGAATGGGGAAGGTTAGGGCTATAAGGCAAATTAGAATTTCCCACCATTTTTTGTTACGTATTTTTTGAAGGACGAGATTTTGGGTGATCATGTTGGAATATTTTAACTGCAAGCACTTTCGATAAATTTATTCTTGAAGACGATTGAGTTGTTTGCAATAGTCATCAGAGGTGATGGAGCGGATGAACAGCTCGACGGAATCGGAATTGTCTTTATTACTACCACAAAAAAAAGAATTTTTAAAATCAGAATGGGAAAGGCTAGGGCTATAAAGCAAATTAGAATTACCACACACTTTTACATCTGCAGTTAAGATTATAATGATTATCGGTTATGGAAGGATTACACATTTCTCACAGTCAGCAACAATTCTATCCAATAATTTTTCCCCGTTCTCCTAAGAAAAAAGCGAAGCATATTGACGACCACTGAAGCATTATTTTCTTAGGTAAATTTATGTGGAACTCAAAAATTAGCTTTATTTGACTTCTTCATGGCTTGAAGATGATAGAATTTTATTCTTTTTGCCATAACCTTTTTTTTAAGCGATTTCATCCAACGTTTGCATGAATCAACTTCTGGGGTGTATGGAAAATGGAGAATCAACTTTTATCAACTTTTGAAGGCTTTTTACCAAATCTTTCGACTTCGTATAAACTGAAATCATCATATTTCGAAAACCACCTTGGGTTACTTTGTTTATATCATTCATTGTATTTTTTATGAAATTCATTGTGCATATATTATTACAATGATGCCTCAAATTGAACCATAGATAAATTTTCATCAAATAACAAAATGATACATATAATATCACTCTACACCTTGGACGGTTCCTTGAAGAACAGGGTATTTATCTTTTTAGCATCTGCTTCTCTAATGTATTTCCTTGGCTTAGTTGCCAATGCTGTAAGCTTTTGTTAGCATTTTCTAATGAGATGTAGCCCTTATTTTCCCAGCATTTTGATGCTTTTTATTCTTCACACCCTTTTGTAATTCTATCAGTTGGCACTTTTTTATGTTGCGCTCCTCTAATCTTATTTTCCACCCTCCTTTTCCATGAGCAAATTGCATTTATTTTTCTTGATTTTGCCCCAGCATTTTGAGAATTAGCTAAGTGTGGCTAAAGCGTACACCAACAAAACTGAAGATTTTCAAAATGTGCAAAGCGTTTTTGACCACTTCTTATTGCTCTAATATACTACAATAATACATGTTAATCCTCGAGATATCGTAAATCAAGTAAATTGAAGAACTCCAAAAATATTTTATACGATGCCTCTCTCCTAATTGCAATTCTAATTATAGAAGAAAACTTCTACAATATAACCTGGATTCTTTTTCAGTTCGTCGTACTAAGCAAGATTTAATTTATACTTATAAGATTCTATATGGTTATGTTAAACTAGATTGTTCAAAATATTATAATTTTAGACCAAATTTGAATCCAACAAGAACTAATGGGCTAAAATTACTAAAACCTATTTATAAAACTGAACTAGGGACTCATGATTTCTTTATTCGTGCTATTAATTACTGGAATAAATTACCGAACGATATAGCTTGTGCGTCATCTTTAGCAATCTTTAAAAAAAGATTAAATAATAATATTTATGATATTATTTAAAAAGTTCACAGCATGCAGGAAGTGTATATAAATATAATTGGATGGTAAAAATCTCGATTTTTACCATGCGATTATAATAATATAGTTACTTCGAATTGTATTATATTTTATTATGTTACTATATTATATTATACTATAATTGTACTATATTATATTTTTTGCAATTTCCTTAAATTGTTAATTTTTGCCATATTTTTTATTATTAAATTTTATTATTTGTTTTTTTTCATTTTTTTTAACTATTCTTATTAATACAAGAACATGGTGTTGTCGCCCTGCTTGACTGGTTTTCAGTAAATAAATAAATTAATTAATTAATTAAATAAATTAATTTCTGTTACAGTGGCAGCATGTATTGTTATGAGGGCTCTATTTGCATCTTCGATTATATTATCTAACATGCATCACTTAGCCTCGATAGCCGATCTCGACGGTTAATTACAGCCATTTTATTCATATTCATGATTTGTTGCTTTATTTCTGCTCTGCTTTGCAGTGGAGATATTAGAAAGGAATTTCCAGTTTTCCAGCTTGTACATCTCTTTCATTTTCTTCCTGAACATTCTGGGTCCGATTTGCACCACAGAATTGGTCTAGCTCCAACTAAAAGAGCAGTTCCCTTCTTCTTATGTTACTGAGAACAAGTCACTCCCAGGAACCTCCCACAGTAAGACCAGCTACCATCCCAGCTGCTGGTATCCAGCAGCGACTCAAAAATATGAAAATTTGGGCACTTAGACCGGATATGATTCGCACGGACTGGCTGAAAAACTAACAGTAGTCATGAGCACCTAACTGCACAATTCAGCTACGCTCAGCTAAGTTCTCTTGAACTTAATTTTTTTTTATCGGAGATCGGTGTGCCAATGAGGAACATCTTCTTCGTTATGCCGAAGAGCATGAACTTTTTGTTACTAATACTTGCTTCCGGCATCATAAAAAACATGTAGTCACGTGGAACTCCCCGGACAACCAACACTTCAACCAGATTGATTATATTAGTCAATCGCCGTTGGAAGAGTTCCGTACTAGATAGTCGTTCCTATCGCGGAGCTGAAACGTGCAATCTTCATGGATCTGACCATGTTATGGTTCGAGCCAAGATCCGCATAAAATTAACTCGCCGAAAACAGCATCCCCCAAGTTCTTTCAACTATCACAAACTAAAAAATTCGGGGACAGTGAGCGCATTTCAAACTGAATTATTGAAGCATCTCAGTGATATAAATATCAATGATTTCTCTGGAACGGTAAATGAATACTGGTGCAAACTAAAGGAATGTATCCGAAAATCAGCCACTTCCACCCTAGGGCATACTAGTAGGAAATGCGCTAGTTGGGTATCGGAAGCAACTATCCAATTGTCTGAAAAAGCTGCCAAGGCACGAATGTCAGCTGATCCTGACTACCGGGTACTTCGAAGATTTGCAACGAAAGCAGCAAGGCGGGACAGAAATCTCTATTGGAGTGACATGGCCTCAAGAATGGAGGCGGCGGCTCGACTGGGCGACAATAGGAAACTATTCTGCCTTCTTCATAAAGCAACTATGACTCGGGGAACGATCAGTGAAATGGTAAGGGGCAGCAATGGCGTACCAGTCAAGAATATTAAGGAGCGCTTAGTAAGAATTCTTTGAGGCCAAACTTAACCATGAAGCGCCATCTGTTGCCCCTTATATAGCTGATACGTTTGCCGAAGCATACGTTTGCAATTGCTAGCCTCCAACAGAAGAAGAAATAATCTCAGTTATCCACAAGCTTAAGGCCAACAAAATTCCAGGAGAAGATGGTCTTCGGGCTGAGCTTTTCAAATACTGTCCATTGTCCTTCATAACGCACCTTCAACAAATGTACTCTTTAGTATGAAAAAAAATATTACCAGATGTCAGCAAAAATTTTTGCTTCACTGCTACTCAACAGACTTATGGAAGTACGAGACAGCAGGATGCGCCCTAATCAAGCTGGTTTCAGACCAGGGCGCGGTTGTGCTGACCAGATATTCACGTTAAGAAGGATGTTGGAACATCGCTTCAAATCCCACTGTCACGTGTTTCATCGACTTTGCGGCTGCCTTTGATTCAATTGATAGAGCGGCGCTTTGGAAGGTGATGGAACGTGATGGT